AATAATAATAATGCAAAGGTGTGAACTTTCCAAGAGAGTGCATCAAACCAAAATATATATCATGGAATGGGTTTTTTTAAAAAGCATTTGTATACCATCCATCAGACTGGACAACTCCTTGAATGGTTTACAATATGAAAATATACCAATATAAAATCACAATAATAATAGCAGATAAGAAACATTAAAACTCCAGGCTCATAATATACCACCAAGACAACACACCCAATCGACACACAACACACAGCAAAGCCCCCCCCCCCCCCACAGCAAATGCAACCAGGTTGTTCCAGAAAAGGCCCTTCCCCTAGTTGCTACTCTCTTTGCTTCCCTTGAAGGGGGCTCTCTGAGAAGGACCTGAGATGAAGACTTCAGGGCCAGGTAGGTACATATGGGAAGAGGCGTTCCTTTAGATAACCTGGCCGCAAACAATTTAGGGTTTGAAATTTTAGTGTTAGGACCTTGAATTGGGGCCAGACTTAAACTGTTAACGCATGCAACTTACAGAGGACTGGTGTAAAATGATCTTGTTGGCCAGTCCCCATTAGCAGCCGAGCTGCCCTGTTGTAGCTGCACCCACAATATTAACTTTTGATTTCATCTTGTTTTGCTTTTCTAAATAAAACATCTAGTGTGAAAATGAGGCCTATATTGAAATAACATTGCCTAAAGCATAAGCATACCGAACTTCTCTTTTGGCACTGAATTAGAAGCTGTTAAGACATTTTGGGTGTTTCTTCTCTCAGGAGGGCTGGTGCCAAATGAAAGACCAAATGATCCTCTCCCATTTCACCTACAGAAGCTGGTGATGAATCCACAGCCTCCTGTCCCACGGAGGGGAGCAGCCTGCGTGGAACACGCAGCCCCGTCCTACTACGGAGGGGAACCACCGGGGCTTTGCTGCCACTGCAGTGTCACTCAGCACCTGCCGCCTTAAGCAATAGCCTCGTTCTGCCTAACGGCAGGACCGGTCCTGCATGTAAAGGAACCACACGCTAGATAGCACTCCAAGACTCCTGCAGCCCTGCCTGCTTGGAAAGGAATTCCAAGTGTTCTTAGAACAGAAATGCTTTCTTGAACTGAGGAATGGTCTCCTGCAGCAAAACAAGAGAGGCCTCTTATAATCTGGAAAGACCCTGAAAGACCTCTGGAAAGAAGAGTCAGTAAGAAGTAAAAATCATCACGGAAGTCACCGGGGGACAACAATAAGCAATAATATGGTATGGAAAGGAGGCAAAGAAGGTTCGCTGCTTTAAGAAATGACCAGCGGATGCTTTCTGTTCACTTTGACAATGAGATATCACAGTGATAAACTGGTATATGGTATATTATGTTCAAGTGATTCAAAGGTTTCCCACATGGTTAGAGGCAAGCTCTTTTCATCCTTTGAAATGATTGCAAATTGTGAGTTCATAGATTCACAGATAGCCAGGTCAAAAGGGACCAGGAAGGCCATCAATCTGACCTCCTGCTAGTGCAGCACGCCAGTTACACCATCCCAATCAGATAATTGTCCAATTGCTTCTCAAACGCACCTAGTGTGGAAGAGCACACAAGCTCTCTTGGTTCCACTGTTGTCGCCACTGTTGTACTGCTCTCACAGTCAAGAAATTCTCCCTTGTGTCTAGATTGCAAAGCATAGGTTGCATCTAAATTGCAGCAGATTTCTTTCTTTCTCTTTCTTTCTTTCTTTCTTTCTTTCTTTCTTTCTTTCTTTCTTTCTTTCTTTCTTTCTTTTCTCCTCCTCCTCCTCCTCCTCCTTTTTTGTAAACTAAAATCAGTTGGCAGCCAAAATGGCATTTGTCCCAAGCATATTGCACAATTTTAAAAGAGAAACAGATATTTCAGCACCAGGAGAAGATATACCTTTTTTTAATTCTTTTTAAATTCTTTTTTTTTAATTCTTAGCTCTTGAATGCTGTGGCCCTTTTATAGTGCTATTATGGATGTTTTAATTTATTAGTGTTTTAATAGGTTTTTAATGTGTTTTATTTATTTATTTATTTATTAAAACATTTCTATGCCGCCCCATTCGCCGAAGCCTCGGGGCAGCTCACAACATAAAATTAAAAATTTTATTATGTTTTAATATGTTTAATGCATTGTAAGCCACCTGGGAAGGCCTCGGCAGCTATAGGCAGCCTATAAATACGTGTATGTATAAAGAAATACATAAATAAATCCCAGTAAAAATGTAGCAAGGCATGAAAATAGATTTAGGACAGTCTTCCAACTAAAACCCTGCCCAATAATGACAATTTGCCTCGGGCTGACAGAGCTTTTCGGTAATTACAAATACCAGAAGAGATCAAAATCATATAAAATCATATATGGCATATAAATATTCTAAATAAATAAATAAAATCAGTGATTAATATCAGCAAGGGGGAAAAACCAAGTCAAATAAGTGGTTTCATTCAAGTTTTCCATTGATGCATCTTCATATATTTCTGTTTTAACTCCAGGATCCTTGCCCAGCCAAGACACCTTACTTTAGATTCAAGGACACTTTGGAAGAAATGAAACCACCTGTGCCAAAGATGATATACGATTTAATGAATATGATGATGAAATAAGGAAGCAGAATATAAACCAGCAAATGAAAGTTTACATTCCACTTCTCTGTAGCTGAGTTGGGGATGTTTGGTAGGCCTCCAAAGTTGCCTTAGCAAGGAGCACATCCTTTCCTCTTCCCAAGCTGAGAACAAAAGATAACATCTATTGCCACAGACTTTATACAGTCACTTTCTCCCATTACTGCAGGTACACAGGCACTAACATCTTTCCTCTTCATGAAATACAGGACAAAAATACTTCATCCCAAGGCAGGGGGACCCTGGTCTACATACAAGAATTTTTCATCCTCAGAGACCCTTCCCACTGGCTGTACATCTTGGTCATTCCCAGAACCTGGCTGGGCAAAGCACCTGGTCTTGAGATTAGCACCTGCTCCTCCTCCATCTCAGAATCTCGACCTAGCCCATCCTCCCCAATTTCACTGTAAGATGTTTCACATTCCAATTCTGATTCATTGCCCGGAATGCAGCCTGCAGAATGATTGCCCAAGACCACCATCCCTTCTCACACCCAACAGTTCCCATAGTTACAGGGAGACAGGGCAGTGTATTTTCATCAGATAAAATTTAAGTGCTTATATTTCTAGGGGAGGGGGGGCAGACAGTAAATATTACTATTTGATAGATAAGCAGATTGGTTTTTCATTTGCATAGAAAAGCTTCCTTTAACTTATTGTATCCTGTGGAAGCACTGAAGGTGTATGGTGAATAACATGGCATGAAATCCAGTCTTCCCGAAGGCAGGCCCACAGAAGCCTCCAAACCTGGAGACATAGGAGTGTAGCAGCAGCCATTGTCACCACCGCCGTGGCCCATACCCTGCATTTTATCTTCTGTTCCCACCCCATGCAATGGTACGCCCTGTTTTGCCCCCTGAGGACTAGCTTGTGGAGGCAGCTGGTGTGGGTATTGCAAAGCCAGCCAGAAGTGGGGCAGGACAGGGATTCCTTGGCCTTTCAGGATCTCAGAGCTGGGACACTAAATGGGTGTCCAGAGACATAGGATTGCACCTGCAGTCTCAGATTATTTAATATTCATCTACTTATGGAAAATGTATTAGTTGCATGTTAAAAAGAAATTAAAACTAGATTTAATTTTTCTGAAGTCAGATTTGAACATTTGCTTGTTAAAATTTTGATTTGTTTGACTTTTAAAAGCAAAATCTTTTATTTTTATCCACTTCGGTGTTTTTGCTTGTTTCTGTGAGTCCATTCTACCCGGGGTCAAAGATTATCAAGCAAACCCCTTTCATAGCTGGCTTGCTATGCACAAATGCCCATTCATATGGTGGCCCAGCAAGACTGGAAGCAGAGAGATAATAAACATGCAGCCTGCAGTTCAAAACAGAAAGAAAGAGAGATGGATGTCTCTAAGTTGACATTTCCCAGAAATGAAGGGGCAGACCATGATGTGGTCTGAAGGAAATGAAAGGGCAGACCATGAGAAAAGTATTTTTCTCTCCAACTCATATTGTGCAGAAAATACGCTGATTTGCTTCTATGATGCCCTGCTTGCAAATATAACAAATATGAGAAAAGAGCTATACATTTTTAGCCTGCACCCACCCACAAGGTAAAAAAAAAAAAAACGATATCTCACTGCTCAGCCAAGTGGACATGGCAAAGCATTTCCCCCAGCCAAATGCCACCATGACACACAAGCTGGACCATGATTTGGGAGCACAACAAAACCCTCATGTACACACAGATCCATATATCACTCACACCAGTTTCCAGAGTAGAAGTTTAGATACACAGGGAGTGCAACCTCGGCAAAATAAGTAAATAGAACACCTACTCCACAAATAAGTAAAGAGAAAATAAGTAAAGAGCAAAATAAGTAAAGAGAACACCTATTGCACTCCAATATCAAAAATATTTACCCTGATCTTTATTCTAATTCTTGGGCTTTCCTCTATATTATGCCATACCTTCCCTGAGATCCAGCTCAGCACAGTCCTGGTTCTGTCCTGGTTCTTCACGCCATCTTTTCCAGTTTAGCAATGACTATTTGATATTTTTTGCAGAAAAAAAAGCATGAAGTGAAGAATACAATGGGCACAGTTTGGCCAACTACACTTTTCGGTATCCTTGATTTCAGCACATGTGATTAAAGCTAAAATTCTTTTACCTAGGATCAAGCTCCATTGAAAACAATAATGCAGAAAAATACCTGGTAAATCTTTTCTCTTGGAAAAAATGAGAATTAAAAGAGTTTGATTTTCTCCAGGCTACACCCTATCTTTCCATCAGTCATCTAGAATGCCTAACAGGAGCAAAGGGGGAAGTAGTACAGATCTTTGAAAAATAAGAAAAGCAGCAAATTACACAAATAATTCACACTGTAATTTCTGGCCAGCTCTGCGATGAATGAAATCAACACCAGAACTGCATTTAAGTTTGAAATGGAGCAAACTGCACATACCTAGGCGCTGGGAACTCAAGACCGCCCTCCAGTGCTGTCACCTTCTCTACCTTCTCAAAGGAGGCAGGAAACTCTTCTTACTTAAGTTAGCTGCAATGAAAGATTACCCAAGAGGAAACTGGTGGAAAAGTCACGAGTAGACAAACTAAAGAAAATAAGCTAGTTGATATAACAACCACTCAAGCCATTGCTAATCAACAACGTTCACGGTAAGACTAACCCATCTAGCCTGGAGGTTTGCTCAACCAAGATTTCACGGAGGGTGGCTGGTTTACTAACAGATAATATTCTTGGGTGGTGGTATCATTTTAGCAATCTCCGCTCGCCGCACCAGCTGGCACAACTGCAAGCGTTAAGCAGGAAGCAGGATTGCATTCAACTACACATGACAAAGCCTTGCACTGCGTCTCTACTTTTCTTCCACTTCTGCATGCAACTGAAGTTATGCAACGCCATACCCAGCCCACAGAGCGGTTGTATTTAACTACACAGCACAGTGTTCTTCTACAAAGCACTTGTGGGAACGGGGTGCACAGCTCACTCGCACTCTTTCTCGTCTTCTGAGAAACCATCTTTTTAGTGAGACGGACACAAAGGCTTCACTTTTGGTCTGTCGAATGCCCCACATTTCTAGTGCTCTCTTCATGGCAGAGGTAACATGTAGACCAATGCTACAGCATCTTCACCGACACCAGTACCGTCAAAAAAGCTACTGGTCACACGCACCCCACCCAAATATTTAAGCTAAAATTATTTTTGCTGTCATGAGGAATGAGTATTGAGGCAGATTAGAACTTTCTCTGCCTCTGCTGGAAATGTGTTACTGTGTGAGGAAAAATAAGAAGAAAATAGGATGGAGAACAATATAAAAATAGGAAACGTTTCCTGCACAGTTCTAATTCCATATGGCCACCATGCTGAGTTTGTTCTTGTTCTATACTTGAATGTGATATAATTTTGGATGTTTTGTAGGTCACACTGAGAGCCTCCTGTGGCTATAAAGTGAGGTTATTGCATTCTAAATACCTTGTTGTTGTTGTGTCATTGTCGTTGCTGTTGGAACCATATTTCCATACTGCAAGAGCCATATGTATTGCTTGCCTTTTTTTAATCCATTAATAAAATCTTGATCACCCAGTATTTTATACCTTCCACTTTCCCATATTTTGGGGCATTGAAATTGGAAAATCTGTCTATGCAATCTAAATCCATAGTAGATCTATCTATCTGTCTGTCTGTCTGTCTATCTATCTGTGATTGCATCACAAGTGCCACTGGTTGGTTCAAAAAGGCGAGTTCAATCTTTTACAACCTCATTCTGTTCTTAAATTTGCCACAAACCAATTGCAACATTTTTTCACTGCCTGAAACAAAGCAAACTGAAATTTCCAAGAACATCTTGCAGAAAGCCCATCCTGTCCAAATTTTGCAAGGTCCATTTATCATTAGGAATGCTATGAATAACACAGATAACATCACAGGCAGAGAGTACTTTATTGTTTAAGTTCACGGAACCAGCACAAAGATAGGAGGTGTGGATCCTAAAGTATGTGGAAACTGAGCTCACCATTCCTAGCATCAGGCCAGAGCAGAAGTACAGCTGTAGCCTCCAGAAAGCTGGACTTGACAGAGCAGTTCCCAAGGAGGTCAGAAGGCAAACTACAGGTAAAGATCAATGCAGACATTTACAGTTATGATCTTCACAGAATCAGAGAAAAATCTCACTGAAGGAAGCAAGCAAGCAAGATGAAAACTCAAAGGATTAATTCCAGCATTACAACCTTAACTTCCCAAATGCACATCTCCTATGCATTAGCAACTGGTTGGACTTTTGAATAACGAATATAGAAATTTAAATCTGTGAAGAGCTGTTTGATTATTTTTTAAAATTCCCACAGTGGCAATTTTAAAATGAATGTTACTGAAATGTGATGTTAGCCTCTTTGATTTACCATCACTATTCAGTGACAGTAATGATAATTTCCATGCAGCCTATGACAAATTTTGTCCTTCGGTTCACCTCTACGGGCAGGGGGTGGGGACGAACTCCTCTGCTTTATTCCATTCTTGAATATGTCAAACAAAGTGCCCAGCATGAAACAATCAGTAGAATTCACTAACTGTTGGATGATGCAATTACATTTACATCAAGAAAAAAGAAAATCAATGTTATAAGCTGGAAAGGTTTATTATTTATTTAGAAAGCTTCTATGCCGCCCCATATGCCAAAGCCTTGGGGCGGCTTACAACAATAAATAAATAATAGCAATATAAAACTATATAATATAATTGGAGACGTCCTGGCCATAAAAATAAAATAAATAAATAATATTAACAATTAAAATGGCATTTAAATAAATGGCGTTTAAAAGCTTCTTTGCTTGACCTGATTTGGAACACACTAATTCACAAATAGGTGAATAACTTTTTAAAAAGTAATGCTCATCTTCTAGTTAAGAGTAAAGTAGCTACACTCTTTACATGGATTGGGTGGGTGTTTGTTTGTTTGGTTGTTTCTACTGCATAGCATGTCCCTTCTAGATGCTGGTTTGTACATTTCACAACACTGAATGGTAACTTCCTGATGCCACTGAATCACTCCACACTGCAAATGGAGAGAGTGGATGCATGGATGGATAGACAGATGATTGCTGATGGAAAGAATCCAGTTTTGTGTGTGTGTGTGTGTGTGTTTATCTATATATCTATTACACACTCACTGCATCACCAGTTGTTTCTTTCCAAACACCTGGGGTCTCTTACACTCTCAATAATGCCTCTGTCTGAAGATGGCCGAGCCCTAAACTAAAAATAGGAGAAGAATTTATAATTCAATAAAGGGATGCATTTTTACCATCTGAGAAATGCATTTGCCACCAGCTGTAGGCTTGCAAGGAAAGGGGGCACAGTCTGGCAAAGTGGGGAGCAGAACCTTGGAAAGCTGCTGGTGGACCCTGCTGGCTGAGCTATGTGGGGAGCTGGAGCCACATAAACCTTATGAAAAGCAGCCAAGGCCTGTTTGGCTTCAGGCCCCAGTTCACGGAAGCAACCAAGCACATGTCTGAAAGGGCCCTTGCCTGCTGCTTTGACGCCTGTGCGGTGTAGAGATGGAGTGGCTGCTGGCAGCTCATCCTCTGAGCCCGAGGGTAGTCGCAGGGCTCCGGGACGACCAAGAGGGCACTGGGCAAAGGCAGACGGCCTCTTCCTCATTTGAATCTTCTCCAGAGCCTTGTGGGACCCAAAAATTACGGCTGGGAGAGCTGAGGTGTGTTTCTGATCACAGACGCGGCACTGCAGCAAGTTTTGGAATGTGTTTGTGTGAACATGGCCAATGACCATGGTTTGCTCTACAAGAGGTATTTCTTTTGAGTGTGCGACTCCTCACCCACAGCAGCTTGTGGATGCTTGCCATGGTGTTCTCCAAGATGCCTCCCATTCTTTTCAACCATTTCCATGGCTTTTTCAGGTTGAAGAAGCTGTGCAATTAACCCGGAAAAGGTAGAATGCGCCTGACCGAAAGGCCCATGCATTTTTGCAGTTCTGCTATACCTCTGTCCAACTGTGTGGTTCCGTAATGTAACTTAGTGAAAGCCAAAGAAAGAAAAACATGATGGGAGGGGGCAGTTGTAAAGGAGACACTCTAGAAGATGTTTGGGTCATGTAAAGAAGCCCTGTGGCTCAATTCTCCACTCCTACATGTTAAAGAAGGCTCCCCCTTCAACATTGCCTGATGTATTCATTACAATAGCGAGTCTCCCAACATTTTAATACCCACAAAATGGCAAGGATATATTAGAAATGCATCATTATGCTAAATCAGGCCTTCTCTTAACAATAAAATTGCAATGTGCAACATGGATTCAGTGCCTTAGAAACAGGATCTGCCTACTTCCCACTCTGAGCTTTGTGTTCTGGGGAAAGATCCGGACCATGAGGAACAAGTAGCAATGCTTGCGATTCAGAACATTGGAGAGCCCCCAACAGCTTCTAGCAGAGCTCAGTTTTCAGCTCCGAGTACTACAGTCCTTACCTATGGCTAAGTATCACAGCTCTCTTTTATCTTTTTAAAGAGTTTCACTTCTCACTGACTCACCTGCTCTTTATGCCCACACAGAGTGAACTTGACAAATGACTCAACTGGGCCCACTGTCGCCTGGGTGTCATAGCGAGGACAACTCAGAGTGAGTGCTTTGCTTATTATGCTGGCCTGGAAAACCTCTCGAGTCATCCCCGCCCACAACCCGAATGCAGAGAGAGGCTGAGTCCACCCACCAAGATCAGAAGCCTGAGAGAGGATGGAAGCTCCTCCCCGGCATTCAGGCAGTTTTCCTCTTAGAAGGATTTCTCAGCATCAACTTCAAACTTAATATTTCCAGTGTGGAAAAAGGGCTGAAGCAGAAGTGATGCAAAAGGCCTGTGAGCAAAACAGGGGCCTCCTCCTCCATTCTGGATAGCCATCAGCTAGGAAAGGGGCAGTGCTGATCAGATTTTCATCAGAGGAGAACCTGCTTGCAGTTGGGAGGAAGCAGCTTATCCTCTGATGAAAATCTCCCATGCTGTCTTCCTGTTCTCAACTGCATCCCAGACTGAAATGGAAGCAGCTGCAGAAAGCCACGGGTGCCTGTTACAGCCACCTTCCCTACCCCAACGCCCTCCAGATGCTTTGGACTTCAGCTACCATGACCCTCATCACAGTGGTCAATAGTCAGTAATGTAGTCCAAAGCTCCGGGAGGACACCAGGCTAGGGAAGGCTGCTAGGTGAGGCAGACACACTTCAAGCTTGTGGAATCTCTCTCTCTCTCTCCCCCCTAGATCACAAGGTCTACCTGTCAGAATCAGGTGCAAAATAGTAGCTCTGAGCAAAGGTGGGGAAAGACACCTTTAATACTCAGGAACCGAGTGCCTCTGAGCACATTCTCAGCCCATGGACTTGTCTTTCAGGCCTTCCACACACAAAAACAGCTCCTCATTTTCTCAGAGACATTCTTCTTTAGATCTTCCTGATGCACTTAAACAAAGCAACACACATACACCTTTAGGGCAATCCTATGGCCTTATGAGCTCATCTGGGAGCCTTTGGGATTCTGTAGAGTCCTAGTTGTGAGATCCTATGATCTTGGGGGGGGGGGGGGACTGAAGGCCAAGCCCCTGCCCTGCTCCCCTGCAGCCAGCATGGAAAGAA